CTGGACTCTATACTCACACATGCTAGACTCTATACTCACACATGCTAGACTCTATACTACACATGCTAGACTCTATACTCACACATGCTAGATTCTATATTCACACATGGAGCATGTACTCAGACAAGTGTTATTTCTGGAATTCATAAACTGAACTTATTTATTCTGGTATTTATTGACAAAATGCTCACCTATATACGTGAATTGCTGAAACATTTCTTATAGTTTTGTAGGCTACTGTTTTTTTACACCAAATCAGGGGGGGGGCAGGATTGAGTAGTGTGTGTAGGTAATACAATTTCTCAGAAATGAACAGCCCAGTTTTAACCAAACATAAAGCATGGAAAACTTAATACAAACCAATAGCAGTAGAATATAATGTTTTTGTGTATTACATGATGTGTCTTTAAGGCTTAGATAAGAATTTATATAAAAGGGTATGTTTAGTATTGCGTTCAAATTTTTGACTAGAATGTTTAATTGTTGTACTTTTATCTGGCAAAATAAATAAATAAATTGATAATAATATTAATATAAAATCTTGCTTGTTCAAATACCAACCCACTGATATAATTTTTGTACTCACTTTTACAAACATTGAAGATATTAACCGTAAAACCAAAAAAAAGTGAAGAAAATAGTAAAAAGTGGTAGTAAGCTTTGACTCTCGTGGAAACATGGAAATTAACAAAAGTAAACAAATCATGGCAGATTTTATTCAATAAAGACAGGTATGGTGTGATGTTTATAATCTGTGTGAGAAAAAGTGGTCTATGTTAAACACATTTGCTTCTAAAGGTCTGTGGAGAAAAGATCAAGTTGACACATTGGTAAATATGTAACAAGTTCTAGTCCATTCAACAAGTACGTTATTAAAATGATCAAATCGATGCACCGATTGGTGAAAGTGGTCCTTATGAGGAGTAGATCGATTAATTTATTGTGAGAAATTCATGGCAGACAAAGTTGCATCCAATGCACTTTTTGATAACTGTGGCTGTTATTTTGTTAAATGGAATAAGCTGGCTGCCTTATTGATCGCATAATACCCACTGAAAATAGATTTTGCAGACAATGTACACAGATTGAAATAGAAGATGAACAGCACTTTGTTATATTCGTACAAGATATTGTACAAGATATCAGTTTTTAAAAGAAACACAGAAAATTGAATTTAAAAAAGATGGGCAACTATATTCATAACTTATTTCAATCAAGAAATAAAAATGCCATCTTGCTTTATACCATTACTAACTTTCTTTTTGTAGTAGTAGTTATCACAACTAATATTTATTACTATTACTGGTAACTGATAGAAACTTCTATTTCTCAGGATGCAATAATGTTATTATTGATAAACGATGGCCAAGTTATTTTTATGCCTTTTTCTCCCAAGATTTGAGTAACTGCTCAAAAAATCAAGAGGCAGGTGATTTATGTCAAGAATTGCCTTTTTGACTCCTGTGTGCGAAGCACAAAAGGAGTCTTTGTCGCTACCCTGTCTGTATGTATGTATGTCACCTTTTTTGTTCCACCGTTATCTCAAGAACCACTAATCAAATTTCGATAAAACTTGGTACCTAGATGCACTGGGGCAATGCGCATATTTGATTAGGTTTTGGTAAAAATCTATGCATATTAATTTCCTAATTTGCATGATAATTGGCTAATTTTTAGCTGTTTTCTGACTGTTCCACTGATATCTAAAGAACCAGTCATTGGATTTTGATGAAACTTGGTACATAGATGCTCTGAACATATGCCAGATTTGATTACTTTTAGGTAAAAATCTGTGCATATTAATTAACTAATGATAAGTCGATTTTCAGCTTTTCCACTGATATCTCAAGTACTAATCATATTTCAATGAAACTTGGTACATATATGTCATAGGACACTGCATAGACCTGATAGTTTTTAGGGTAATATCTGTACATATTAATTACCTAATTTGCCTAATTAATTTATTTTCAGCTTTTAAAGTGTCAAATCATCACACTCCAATGAAACTTTGAAAATAGATACTCTAGGACTATGCAGAGATCCATTGTTTTGGAGTAAATATTTGTGCATATTAATTACCTAATTTGCATAATTGGTTAATTTTCAGCTTGTCCACTGATATCTCAACTACTAATCATCACATTTCAATGAAACTTGGTACACAGAGGCTCTAAGACTATGCAGAGATCGATTGTTTTGGATTAAATATTTGTGCATATTAATAACCTAATTTGCATAATTAGTTGATTTTCAGTTCTTCCACTGGTATATCAAGTACGAATCATCACATTTCAATGAAACTTGCTACATAGATTTTCTAGCACATGCAGTATCTAGATCAGTGTTTGGGTGAATATTTGTGCATTAATCACCTAATTTGCATAATTAGTTAATTTTCAGCTTTTACACTGATATATCAGGTATGAATCATCACATTTCAATAAAAATTGGGACATACAAACTAAATGTAGATCCTGTAGGACTATGTAGAGACCTGATTTAGTTTTGGGGTAAATAATTATCTAATTTGCATAACTAACTGATTTTCAACTTTACTGATATCTCAAATACTAATCATCACATCTCAATAACATTTGGCACGTAAATGCTCTAAGACAATAGACCTGATTAATTTGGGGTTAAAATCTGTACATATTAATTACCTAATTTGCATGATTAAATTACTTTTAAGCTTTCACACTGATATCTACATTACTAATTATTAAATTTCAATGAAACTTGGTACATAGCTGCTCTAGGTCATTGTGCAAACCTGATTAGGTTGGGATTAAAATCTATTATTTCCATAATTAGCATAATAATTTATAATTTTTTGGTTCTAAGCACATTTCAATGAAACTTGGTACATAGCTTGTCTGTTACATTGTCTCTTGTCTCCAATACTCTCAGCACACAGGAGTTCTTTCTAAGCTTTCTTTGATTTAATTTAAGGAGTGGGTTTATCAAGATATTAAAGTATTGCTCTGATTTAATTTTCGGATGTATGAAAAATGTTCACTGTGTGTGTATAACAAAAAAAGGAAACAAAAAACTTAGAACACACTATAAATTTAAAATTAATTAAAATTTTGAAGACTACTTGAATGTCTTAAATACAAATCAAAGAATTTCTGTAACTAGATTAAGAGCAAGTAACCACAATTATAGAAAAATGAAGACACACTCATCAAAAAACACCATTAGAAAATAGGATTTGTAAAGATTGTTCATTGTATGACATAGAAGATGAAATACACTTCTTTTTGGTATGTCCAAAATATCAAACACATCGAAAAGAAACTCTCTCAAATATCATATTCCCAAAAGAAACCATCACTAATCTGCAGAAATTCATTTATTTAATGAAAAGTAGTGACAAAAATACAATTAAGCTGTTAGATGTTTTTATTCACAATTCTTTCATTGTAAGAAATAATTATTCTCTTGATTTGTAATACTTATTCTTTATTGAATGTTACATTCATTTTACATATTGCTGGTATTAAACTGATTTATTATTATTATTTTATTCATTTCTGATTAACATTTATTTTTGTTTTTATTTAAATTTTTGCATTGCTATCTTAATGAATTGTGACAAGTTATTTCTGTCTGGGTTTGCTGCGCATGACTGTATTTCATGAATGAGCCAATCTATCCAGTGTACACCTGTGTGCAGCTCTGTTTCATTGCGTATATAAAACATAGTTGAACTCTGGTGACCTTGCCCTTTGTTATATAATATAATTTCCTTTATCATAGTTTGTTTCAATATAAATATGCATTGTCATAATTAATTTTGAATACAAACAAGTTTTGGGGTTGAACCAACAGTGGGGAATCAGTCTACCGAATGTCCTTAAAAGATGTAAATATCTTACAAAACATTGGTGCCTTATTTGTTTAATTATTTAAGGAACATAATTTCCAGCTTTATTGAAAGTAATTGAGATATTTTAAATAAA